GGGTATACCCCACCTATTAAATTTAATATAAACTTGAGAATCGAATACAGAATTGAAGAGAATCGTTAGGATCCTTATATAAAGCAGAAGAAAATAAAAAAAAATGTTTAAATATATAGTAATATTTGTTAAGAAAAATTATTGAATAGAATAAAATTAAAATTTTTTGTAGATATTGTTATCTAACCTTATACAATAAACTTATATTATTGGAAGATAAATAAGAAACTTGTATTGTTATTATTAGCTTTATTTATGAAGGTAACTAAAATTTCTGATTATTATATATTATCTTACTAGATTTTTCAATTACTAGCATAATACCAGCAACTTATTATTAGCTATATTAGCATTAGTTGTTATATTACTTTGAATACTGTAAAGTATAACTCTTTGAAAATTTAGGTAATAATAGTTGTATAATGGTTTCTTAGATATATTTAGTCTTATTATCAATAAGAAAACAATATTGGATTTAGTAATGATAATTATAATGATTTTTTGAAGAGGATAAACTATTTATCCTTTTTTTGAAAACTGTAGAAAAAGAAAAATTTTCAATATTCATATCTTAGGAAAAGTTACTATTTCTTAATAATTTTCAAAAAGAGAAAATCTGCTAATCAGAAAAGTAATAAAATGAAATAATATTTTAAAAGAAAAGAGAAGTCTAAAAAAAAAAATTTTTAAGAGGAAGGGAAAATCTAATTTTAATAAGAAAAAAAAAAAGAAAAAAGAATAGGTTAAGAAAAAAAAGTTTATATAATGAAAAGAAAAAATCAAAAAAAAAAAAAAGAAAAAAGAAAAGAACAAAAAAAAAGAACAAACAATAAAAGAAATAAATAATTTAAAAGTTTTTTAAAAAGAAAATTTTTTAAGTGTTTGCAAAAAATGAAAAAGAGTTATTATTATTTTTTTTTTTGCCTCTAATCAAATTACAAAAGTTACATTTATTCATCCAATTTTGGAAAACAGTAGTACAATATATATGATACTATACTAAAGTTAAACTATTATATAATATTGCAGAATGCCTGTTAATAAATTTAGATTTATATGTGATTCTTGAATCCTTAATACCAAGACCACAGTGTTACTTATATGATTTAGCTATTTACTAACTATTTTACTACAAGAGAGTAGATTTATTAAGCTATTACTGCATGGTATTAACTATATTAGATTTTCTAAATTCAAATTTTCTAGATGTGATTATTGGGAATAAAAAAGTTGCTTCCTTTCAAGACTAGATATCAAAGACTATGCCTTGAAAGATCTCAACCAGCCTACATTCAGACTGTCACACCGAATAACTCTGTGGTTCTAAGAGGTAAAAAAAAATTTTATTTTTTAAGAAAAAAGAGAAATAAAAGAGATAGTCAAAGAGTTTGTTTTGATAAATAAAAATCTTTCAATATTAATTTTAGTCCATTAGGATAAATCCTTTACTACTATTTGTAGCTAGGCAAACTATTTAATTTCTGCTGTTCCATTGTTGACCAAGAACATTTAAAGGCACTTCCAGGAGAGTATTTCTTGAAACTTTACACTCGAAGACTTCTAACCTTGAGGAGGGTTGGTATTTTAATTGGTGATTTCTCTTCCAGCCAAATTTTCAAGGATTTATAGCTTTATTCAACCAGTGAATAGTTTTAAAACCCCTTTCTTCAATTATTTTCAAAATAATTAACAATAGAGAAAGCTTGTTACTGAATTGGAATGAGACTTCTTTTGATCTTGAAGAAAAAAGAAACCAGTTCAAGAGAGGAGGGGGAGCACCATAACATATCTTGATAAAAAAAACACCTCATCACTTTATTCTTTTATTGTGTCCAATGGCATTATTGGGTTTATTGTTGTATAAGATGGAACATATGGGAGTTATGTATCTTGTTTACATTTCTTGCTACGTATAGATCAACCAGTTCAAATTTCTAACCAATCATCATTTAGGAGTTCCAATATAATCAAAAATTCAAGGTCAAACTGAAGTAGGCAAAATTTCTCAAAAAAATCAGAAAAAAATATACATGCCTAAAAAAATAGGAAAGAGACTTGAAAAAAATAAGAGAAGAGTTTCAAAAGCCTATACCAATCTTTTCTGAAGTCTTGAATTTCTGGAAAAAATTGTTTTTTCTACAAGTTCTTTTTCCTAACAAAATGTTCTTGCCTTTGACTTTGTAGATAGGTTTTTCTTGTATTTACTTGCTGAAATACAGAAAGTTTATATCAACAAGAGAAAGAAACAAGAGGGAAGAAGCTACAGTCTCTAAATATTGATATTGTTAAGGAAAGTATATAGACTATATTACAAAGAAATATAAAATTTCTTTGGAATGTTTGTTTTTGTGTTGGCAAGAGAATTAGTAGAAAGAGTTTATGAAAAAAAGTTTTTATATTAAATTTTTTTTAGCAAAAAGAAATATATATTATATTAAGAATTTTAAATCTTGTAATTACAAGTCTAAAATTATAATAAAAATAGAATATAATAATCATTTGTTTTTTTTTATTAGTATTAAATAGAACATAAATACTTTAAAAACTTTAACAAAGAAAAATATTTAAAATATTATCAGATTAAAATTAATTGAAAATTTTTTATTTATTACAATATAAAACTTAATTAATATTGATTTATCAATTATAATATAACAGATTCTTATATCCAACATAAATATAATTTCTTTAAATATATTATCAAACCAATTTTCAACTATTCTAATCTTTTATATAATGTCAAATAAAAATTTGTAGCTGTTTAAAACCACTTAACAAGATATATTGTTTTAAAATTTCTTTTTAATATTAGTTAAATAGTTACTATAAGCAAGCTAACATTTAAATCATTATAATATTACATATCAGAGATATTATTTCTTTTATGATGTATATCTAATATTATACAAATTAAATAAAGAAATGATGTTTAGCTATAAAAAAAAAAAAGAAAAAAAAAATGTCAATATAAATAATAATATATATAATTATGAAATACCAAGTATATAAAATTTATGTCTTGCTTAACAATTTTGTTTTAAAATATTTGTTAAAAGTATATATTAATGTTAAATTCTCTCTGATTCCATAGCTACATAAGTCAACGATATAAAGTAAAAAACAATTTGTATAAATATTAATACTGTATTGTCTAAATTTTTCTTTTTTAATTTTTTCAAGTTTTTATTAAATTGCGTGATTCAATATGCCTATCTCAATAATATATTAATTTAAAATATAGTTTAAATAATTATTTTGGCAAGTTAACATTTAACTTAATCCAACTAAGAGATGTTGACTTTATCACAAATGTATACTTTATACGTATATAAACTTAAATAAAGAATTGGAGTTTACCAATAAATATATATATACAGTATATAATCATCAATTACTAGGTAAATAAAATAATTACTATTATTATTAGTAAAATAATAAGTTTAATTATTAATATTGTATTGTTTACTTACCGATCCAATAAATACGATCGGATGAACGATCAAGTATAGATAACTCGCGTTGTCGCATGATCATATATGGTTGAACGATCGTTCTAAAAATGCATATGAACCATCAAGGACATTATCGTTAAAACGAGATCGATAAGGATAAGTTTATTTCTTTAAATCGATGTACACAATGTTGCGCATAAAAGAAATAAAATAATACAATGGTAAAATAAACTAAGCTAGCAAGAACCATGGATAAGACAGATTTTTTTTTTTTTTGCGACAAACAATAATTATTTTACTGCAATACACTCCTTTTACTTGATCTATATAAATATTTACAACAACTTCCGAAAAACCATAGAAAAAAAGCAATAAGTATGACCTAAGTGTTATTTGAAAACGGGAAAGTTAAGGACCACACGCAGTAACATGACTATTCAAATAGTAAAAAATTGACATACTTCAAGAAACGAATAATCCTATTAAAAATGGTTATTTTCACAATTCAGTTTTAGCATGAACTTCACTCTCGTTAGTAGGCCCACCTTGACTGTTAGCGACAGATGGCGATTCGTTCGTGACGTTATCACCAGTGACGCGTTTTTCATCTTCCACACGGGATTCAACTGGATCCAAGTCCATAGAAGATATCTCTTTGGATAAATTACCTTCATTACTCTCGGCACCATCCTTTCCTTTTTTAACATCGGATTGACTTTCGACTTTTGTGGTTTGGTTGCTTTCTTCAAGCTTGACTGCATCTTCATTCTGAGGAGATTCCCCTTCCATATGAGGCATCTTCGGCGAAGCCTCCTCTTCAGTACCTTCCTGAGTTTGTGTGTCCAATAAACATTTCCACTTCTTGATCAGCTCCTCGCTTCTACCTACAATATTATAATTATCGGGTTCGATTTTTAGCTCTGCAATTTTTCTCATAACCTTGCCGATTTTGCTCTCCTATTCGCATGACGGTTTGTAAAATTTTCGTTCAATTAAAGTCGAAAGATGACAAATCTCAATCAAATAACGAGTTACACCTTTAATAACGGAACGGTAACGGGAAAATTTTCGACTTCGGTGAATAACTCGTCAACCTTTGACTTGTCCAATTTCTGGATGTGGAAGCCAAATTGTTGGTGGTTATACAAAAATATTCGATGTCATCGCTTACGCAAGTAATAATACCTCAAATTCGGGATTTTTTAACACCAATTTCTGAACCTTATGCCTCAAGTGAAGCAACTTGGCGGAGGGAGGTTCTTTTATAAAATCAAGTACAATTTATCAACATGAATCCAAGAGAACTGTGGTTAGTAAAAATTTCAGACATACTCGTTTGACGCGACTTTGTAGAACGAGATTGACCCTCCGAATCTAGTTTGCTCGTCTTACTGTTATCGTCGGTCGTTATCTGTTTGTTTTCTTCTTCACCTCCGGGGGAACCGTTATCAGATTTTCCCGGCGACTTTGAACCTTCGCTCCTAGATACGCCCCTATTCTTTAAATTTTGTTTTCGTTCCTGAACATGAAATATATTACATAATTATACTTGAACAATTTAAAATTTAGGAAGAACCTTCTTGACACCCACTTCGGGACTTGGTTCGTCTAACTCCATCTCATCATCAGTGTAATCAAATTTCTTTCTGCGCCTCGAGGATTTGTCCATGTTCGATCCGTCGTTTGTTCTACGTTTCTTTCCTATTTTTCCACTATGGCCTAATGTTTCTTCATCACCAGAGGAATAAACACGATCCTTTCTCTTAGACTTTGTGCTTCCCGGTGACTTTTTACGACGTTCCGAAGCTTTTGGAGAAGTAGGTTTTTTTGGTTTTTTGATGCCTTTACCACGGGACTTGGATTTTTTTTCATACTCTATGTCGTCATCAGACTCATTAGATTTTTTACTTTCTTCTTCCATCTCAGCGTCATCCTCCGTCGCTGCTCCTTCTTCGGCGTCTTCATCCATAGGATCTTCAAACGATGCTGGGTCCAAAGCCTCACGAATTGATCTCTCCAGCAATTTGTCCCGTTTTTTACTTTTCATCTTTTGCAATGATACTTCAGCTTCTTTCTTATCAAATGGTCTAAGATCATTATTTCCAAACCACCCACTAAAAAAAGCAGATAAATGGATTTAATTATGTATCATTAAAGCGATAAATTAATTCTTTTTTTAGTTGACTTTCGTATATCCCACGGTTGGTACTTGACAAATATTGTAAAAAAAAACATCATCACTGCCATATAAGATAAACGAGAGATGCATACTAATCTCTGGTCCCATAAAATCTCACGCCATATATTGGTTTTGGTCCTTTTGGCTTTTTCGAAAGCACGTTTGAAGGTAGAGAGGACTCAACTTCAACCTAAAACCCAGTCAAAATTAAAGTTTCGCCAGTCAGAATTATGTTCAACCGCTAATACAACAAGAACTGGTTCTTTGACAAAAATTACCGCGTTTAATAAGTGCGCATTGCTAAAGAGATAAGGTATTTACTTACTCGTGCTGGCCACCAGGGATATCCCTTAAGTTTGGCGTAAACTATTGTTCCAGCAGCATATGACATTGGGATCGCTTTGTGTTATCAAAAATATCGGAAAGTACGAAGTCGATCCCAGTTTTTCCAAATTACTTTCGAGTCAAGACTCAAGCGAAACTGACAACAAAAAAACGGTCCCAACAAATACTTTATTAGATATGTAAATTATTCACATGAGTTATCATTGTACAACCGCTGATCAATGGCCTATGAATCATGTGATAAACCACCGATGATGAGCAAAATTCAATATTTACTACAAGTACAGTATATTTAAAAAAATTAATTTTTTATAAAATAAAACAAATGCAATAATTATAAATTATTTTTATTTAATATAAATACAGTCAACTTTTTCTAATTGCATAGGTATCAGGAACATGGTAAAAAATTTTTGGAAAAAGATACATTTTATAAAGAAATTATGTATTTATGAAAAGAAATTTATATGAACTTGAAATCAACATGTTTTATACAGTATATTTAAAAAATTTTAATATTGCATTTAGAGGAAGTTCACTGTAATAAGGATTTATATAATAATGGTTACTGAGTATAAAAATTTAAATTTTTAAATAATTATTCATTATTAATATCAAAAAATATATTAATAAAAAGAAACATGGTTACACCGAAGTGGAGATCTCAAACAAAAAAAAAATTTTTTTGATCGCACGTGTTAAATAATCGACGCTAATATATTGTATGTTTGATCATAATTGATCGAGCAAAAATGTCAAATCTCCCTCAGCTTAATGACACATCTGCTCGACCAAATCCTGAACCTGAAATACCTCTTGTCATGACAATTAAAGAGTATTTTGCAAAAAAAGACTACAAATTTTACCTAGCGGCAACGGCTACTGTAATTTTTGCTGGTGTCGGTCTCTATTTATTGACCTCCAAATCACCAAAACCTAAAACGCACCGCTCGAAGAAGAGCAGGTCTTCGAGGCAAGCAGGGACAAATGAATCAGGCTCTCATAAAGGCAAGGATTATCTTAAAAAAAAATTGACACGGTTTAATCGGCGTAAAAACACTGCGTTTCTTATTAAACTAACAAAAAAATCAATACACTTCAGGAAAGGACAGGAGTGTTAAAAGCAGAGATGAAGCTGAAGTCGAAGAATTCGAAAGATATAGTATCGAACAAATCAATGCTTTGCCCAAAGAGGTTGATTTACTTATCATTAATCCAACTACTCGTATTGATCCTAAATTAATGATTCCCGATGCTTTATTGTAGAGACGCGATACAGCATCACAACAACTCAAAAACAGAGGGAACGTCGCGTATGGCCAGAGCAACTACGAAAAAGCAATAAAACTGTACACGCAAGCAATTGCATTCAACCAAGATCCGGTCTTTTACAGCAACAGAGCAGCATGCTATTATAATACAGATCAATTTTCAAAAGCAATTGAAGATTGCAACAGTGCGTTGCAGATGAATCCTTATTATGTTAAAGCGATAAATAGGCGTGCAATGGCATATGAAAGAACATCGCGTTTCGAGGAGTCTCTGCATGGTATATTATAAGTCTGTGGAACTTTATTAAGCGTCAAGTGGGATATTTACTGAAATCTTCTTGGCAGACTACACAGCTGCCTGCATTATTGGCGATTTTAGAAACGATAGTGCAACCGCTTCAATCGACCGTCTCCTGAAAAAAGTTGCCAGCATCAAGGCGCAGGAAATCATCAAGGTTTATAAATATATTTGGTGTGATTGTTAACTTTATTTTTTATTTAATTTTCGCACATGTTTGACTTAAAAGAATAGAATAAAGCGGTTACCATCAGCGAAATTTATTTCCTCGTATCTGGATTCATATCGAAAGGGTGCTTATTCGCCTGCATTAATACATATATGCGTATGACCTGCCTAGTTCTCAAAGAAAAATTTTTTTTTCTTTTTTCGCGTTAGAAATTACGGACCATGATGATGACGTCACCGAGGAACTAGAGAGCTCAAATTTAGAAAAAAATGCCGATGATTACTTTAAATTAGCCGAGAAATTAGTGCGACAACAGCAATACGAGGAAGCAATGAAGATGTACGAGAAGGCTATAGAGCTTGGATGTACTAATATGCCAAGAGCTCTTAATATGCATGGAACATTTACTTATCTGATGGGCGATTCTAAGAATGCCTTGGATGATTTTCAAAAGGCACTCGAATTAAAGCCAGATTATACACAACTTTATATCAAACGTGCCACCGTTTACATGGAACAAGGTTTGTATACATAACTTATCGAATTAACTTCCAGTTTAACTACAATTGATCACGTATGGTTTACAAAGGCAATATGAATGATGCATGGAAAGAGTTTGACGAAGCCGTTAAGATAAATCCTAACGATCCCGATATTTATTATCACAGGTCTGCATTTCTTTGAAAATAAAAACTTGCGTTTATTTAAATTTTTTTTTTATTTTAAATTTTTTTTTCTATAATAAATATATATATATAGGGGTCAAGGTTTGTGTTTGTGGATTCACTCTGTTACCTATTCGGATTATCACCGTGTCCTCTTATTTACTTGTTTCTTTTTATACAAGTTCATTTCCTTAGCGCCAGTTTTGATATGGCAGTCAAAGAATATCAACGTAGAATTGAGCTAGATCCCGATTTCATTTTTGCTCATATTCAGCTTGCTATTGCCCAATATAAAAGTGGATTTATTGCAGAAGGAATGAAAACTTTTACGCAAGGACTGCAAAAATTTTCACAGTCTGCTGAAATGCATAATTACTATGGAGAGCTTTTAGCTGATCAGAAGCTCGTTGACGAAGCGATGGAACAATTCGACAAGGCTATCGAGTTACAAAAAGGAAATTTTGCATTGCCATTTGTTAACAAAGCAATGCTCTGTTTCCATGTGAAAAATGATCCGGCTCAAGCTGAAGAATTTTGTCGTCGTGCCTTGGAAAGTAAGAATGATTTCCTTTTTTTTTAAAAAAAAAACTTTGTTGTATTTATTTTTATGTTTACGATAAATTTTTACATTGGTACAGTCGAACCTGAAAGTGATATTGCCAACACAATTATGAGTGAGATACTACTTGCTAGAGGAAATTTGGAATCTGCATTACAATACCTTGAAAAATATCAAGAGGTAGCGCGTACTGAGGCTGAACTTCAAGGGATCTTGGAATACGCGGAAGTAAGTACATTTGTGTTGTAATTATAACAAGGCTACCTATCCGATCTTCTAACAATTTTTTCCATTAGGCCGCACGATCTCACATTGCATTCAAAAGAAGTTATCCTCAATTGGCTGACCGTTTAGTCCTCTCAAATCGATAAATGAGGAAAATTATTTCTTATTTTTATATAATTTTGTGCAAATACGGATATGAATTATCGAGCATGATATTTTATATTCATTAAATTTTGTAATAAAAAAATTTCTATTGTACTTATTCCAACTAATAATATAATAATACATAATTGAATTACAGGCAAAACAACATAAGGAGTATATTTAATGAAATTGAATAGTTTCTTGTTTTTTACATATATAATTTATTTTTATTTATAAAAAATCTTGTTATATTTTTTTATAATTAAAAAACTATTTATTTATTTTAAAATAATCAATATCATTTATGAATTGATAACAATATAGTTTTTGTTTATCTTTATTATTTGTAAAAATTTGACAAAATGAACATGTATAAATGCAAATCATTTGTTAATATATAATATCAAATATTTTATATATAATAACCTAAGTTGTTTAGAAATTCAATACTCTTAATATTATTTTTAATACTAGCTTATCAATTTACTATTTGATCTATTCAACTATACAAATTTACTTTCTTATAAAAGAGTTTACATATTAAATAAAACTTATTATTTTTTTTAAAAGTTTATATTATTATTAATTCATAATATAAGTTTGAATTAAAATAAGTTTCAATTATTTATTATATATTATTTAGTAACTATATTATAATCAATATTTTTAAATATTATTTTATTATATACAGTATATAAAATCTTATTTTAATTATCTAATTTAATTTTTAATATTTAATTTATTTGATTTTAATAATTTTAATATATTTTTTTATATTTATAACTAATAATTATTGTTTTTTTATTTTTTAAGTTTATAATATATTATATTACAATATATACAATAAAATATTTGATAATTTAGAATAAAATTTTTTATTTTTATTAAAATTTGCTAAATTAATAATAGAAAAATCAAAAGTTTTGTTTTTTTTTTTTTTGTAATTTAATGAAATTCATTAATAAATTTGATTAATTAAAAATTATAATAATTCAAGTTAGAAATATCAAATTTAATAATAGATGTTTTTAAAATAATAATAAATAATTGAAAAAAAAATATAAGATTTAATATAAAATTCTTATATTATAAAAATAATTTAATTATATTTACCTATATTAATTAATAATAATATTAAAGTTATATATATTATAATTATTAAATAAAAAAATATTTTTTTAAAGACTTTTAATATACAATATATATTTTTTAATTTACTTTAAATTTTTTAAAAAATAATTACTTAAAATTAATAAAATTAATTAATTATATTAAATATCAAAAAATAAAAATAAAAAAAAGGATTTATTTTTTTAATTATAATATATAATATTAAATTTGATAATAGAATTATTTTTTAAAAAATGAAGTGAATTTTAATTAAAAAAACAATTAATAAAAAATTAATAAAAAGTTATAAATAAATAAAAATAATAGATAAAAAATTTAAATTATATTTTAATTTGATAATAAATTAAAACAACAATAATTTATTTTTAAAATAATTAAAGAAAAAGATTTTGAAATTAATTATTAATTAAATAGAAAAAATAATTTCAAAAAGATATGACTTAAGAAAAAAATTAAAACTAAGTATAAAGTTTTAAAAAAAATTTTGGTTTTGATAAAAATTTATTTTGACAATTCAAAAATTTGTAAAATAATTATATTATAATTTAATTACTTTATATATTTTAATAGTAACTCAATTAATTAATTATATTAATTAATTAACAGTATACAATATATGTGTATTGTTTTTTTTTCTTTTTACAACATGTGACTGCAAAGGTGATCTGCAGGTTTTGAACTTATTGGAAAACTATTAGATTTATATTATACATTTATACTTCATATTTATAATAGTTCAATATGACATGTGATTGCAGGTTAAATAAAATAAATAAATAAATATTTGGGTTCTTTCACAGAAAAACCATGTTTGGATTCTATATATTTTATATAAAAGAATCTATTTATTTATTTAGAAATTCTAAATTTTAATTTAGAAATTTATTTTCAAAAATAATATTTGTTTTCGGTGTAACAAATGATAAAGAACTAACTCTAACAACCAGCACAAAACTATGTAAGGAGAAACAAACGCAGTATGATATCTACATTGTATTCATGAGACATCGGTTGGGCTAGAAAAATCGGTAAACAAACATTTTGTTTTTTGCCATTCTATCAACCAACCACTATCATCAAAAGAAATCTGTTCGTTTTCTAATAACCTGCGTTTATGACTAATTTTATCGTCGCCATCGTTATCGAATTGTTTTTTATCAAACCATTCACCGTCAAATCCGCCGATGAAGAAATTGGAAGCAATTACGCGATGGCACGGTACAGGCATAGGCGCAAATGGGTTAACACGCAAAGCGCCACCCACAGCACGAGGAGATGATTTAAGGGCGTTTGACAGCAACTTGTATGTTGAAACGTAACCTTATTTGTTTTACCAGTTTGATCAAAATAAACTCAAAAAAAAAAAAAAAAGGTTGACATAAAGAGGACAACGAGCTTACCTTCGGGTATCTAATAAGTATGTCGAATTAAAGTGGCACTTAATTAGAAAGATGGACACGTGAAAAGGAAAAACACGAAAATTACGTGCCTGTGAACATAAATCGTAAACCTTGTATTGAAATTCGGTGACGATTTTTCCGGTTTTTGGATTGATAAAATTAATACGCTCCTTTTTCGTTTTTGGATAGTAAACGTGTGAAGTTAAGGCGTTATCATCATAAGAATTTCGAGCCCCGGAGGATCCATATGTTTTTGAAGAACACGGAAACTGAGATACTTCCATTGGTGGCATTGAAGACTCTATGGAGAATTAAATACGATCAATTTTGTGCAACATCTTTCACACGTGTCCTCAAAAACTCGAAACATTATTCAATTCGACAATGATGGAACTTACTCCCGAGTTTCGAAGATTGGTGAATGACTTTTCGACCCTCGATGGTAAAAGTCGGAAGAAACGAAATGACATTCTTCCACCAATCAAGAAGAATCTAGAGCCGCAAGACGAGTTTTTAAAGGAGGCCTATCGGATAGTAAGTTTTCGAAGGATTTAAATACGCAGAAACAGAACATTAACGAAGACGAATTTTTAACATTACTCTAGGCTTCACATATAAGCAACTTAAAGAGTTTTCTCATTTCAGTTCGAAAAGCTTACCTAAATGTTTCGCGACAGAGTCCTTTTTCAAAAACCGGCGTTCCGTTACAGATCAGTGGCGGCAGCTCAGAGCAGGGCTTATCATCCACCACTAGATTCAGTTCTACAACTTTAACGGATAAACAACGAGACGAAATTGATCTACAGGCTAAAACAATAATTCAACAATGTTTAGATAGGATAAAAAAATTGGAAGAGGCTGAACAAGGTTGTTAAGGGGACGGAGTTTTTTAAAAAAAAAAGAAAAAGAGAAACTTAGTATTTATCGCGCCATTTCTTTGATTAGTACGACAAAATTCTATTTTGAATAATACCTGGACAAAGATATTATCAACGGCATTTTCTCAAGAAGAACACGACGTGTTGGCAGCAATTCGAAGTAGTGTTATATGGTACCTGAACAAAAGGCTGACAGAGGTTTCGAAAATACAAAAAGATCAACAGGAGGCCAGAATTATAAGAGAAATTGAAAAACGAGAAAGGTACGCGTTATGTATTTTACATGGTTGTGGGCTTATATTATAGTACGACATCTTATTCAAGCCTCTTTTAAAATGTATTGTTCAGTACACTTTACAAAACACCAACCGTTAAATTGCATACCCAAACTCAGAAATCACCCCTTCAAACTCTGATGACAGAGGAAAATGAGGCTTCCGTGAAAAATGAGGGAATAATAAGTAACGTGGATGAAGAAGACGACGTTGAACAACATTTGTCCGTGGAACAAAAGATGATGCTAGAAATGGAGAATGAAACTATGATGAAAGAACTTGCGACGACGCTGGAACAAATCAAGTAAGTGTTCGACCGTTTCTCATTCGCCTTTAAAAATTTCATTCTAAAATAAAATCCAATTTTAGCCAAGCAGAAAAAGCGTTAACGGAAATTTCAAATTTACAAACTGTTTTATCAAATCACTTGGCAATGCAAACTCAACAAACCGATCGATTATATGCTGAAGCTATTGCTACTACAGCTAGAGTTCAGGAAGGGAACACCATGTTGATCAAGGCTAGACAAAGAGCCTCAGACACGAGAAAATGGATATTGATTTTTTTGATCGTGGCAAGTTTTGTATTGTTATTTTTGGATTGGTATGATTAACGAATATTATGTTTATTTCAATAAGTAATGAACCTTCGCGAATAAAACTTGTATATACATTTCCCTTTCAAATGTAATTTAATAAAGGAATAATTCGAATTTACTATTTTTAACAATTACACGTCGATTGCGTTAATGAACACGGAAAATCGATAAACTTTGTTTTATTCTTTTGCGTTCTCTGCTACTACAGCAGTATCTTTTCCTTTTTCCTCAGAATCCTTATCGCCTGCTTGTTTTTTCTTATTTTTTTTCTTTGTTGGTCGTATGTTAGTAGACAGCAATTCCAAAATCTTTTCATCCTCTATTTTCTTGTCACTTTGTACGATTTCTGGATCGAAAGGAATATTGGTAATCTTAATTGTACCGTTCTTAGTCAGGAGAATAGTATTGAAGAATTGTGCCACGAACTCGCCTAAAGATTAATGAAGCCGATGATTAAATTACGCTATGTGCGATTTGCACCTTTAACGGAAAATAGCACACACCCTCTTTTTCCTGGTACACATCGTACGGTGTTACCAAACCATGTTTGGAACATTCAACTATTCCCATCCTCGCTTTTTTCTCATCCCCTAATGCTCTTAGCGGAAAAGGAAACGAGCCAAATTTCTGACTGATTTCGGCGAAGACGGCTCGAGAAGTCTTGATTTTTAGTGAGTACGTCTTATTCGTCTTCCTATAAACGGTCGTACGTGCGGATGATGGCTTTGGCTAGATTTATCATTCATGCAGTAAATCTATTATCCGATAATGATACTAACGACGATAATAATATAAACCACTGCAATTTTACCTTGCCTTCTCCGGTCGAGACTAATATATCAATACCATATACTTCATTCTCTTCAAACGTTACGCTTTGAAATTCTCGTTTTTGCTGATCACTCGGATTGAGAATTATTTGCTTATCACCCTCAATGTCGTTTCTATTTTGTTGGTACGATAACATCCCTATTGTAAATTAGAATAAAGAAGGTAAGGCTTGGAGAATCCAAATATCTGCTCTAATACTTGTCACAACCATTTACCCTCCACAGGATTTGTCTCATACGATTTTGCGATCTTTTGTATCGTCTCAGTCACTTCCATATTGTTCAATCCAGGTTTGGTCAATCTCATGGCAGCTTCAGATGCCAAATAGGCGGCGGTCAAGACATCGGCTAAACGACCCTTGACCGGATTTTCCTTTGATGCACCAACGACAATGGTGGTGGCCACGATAGCGGCGTAACCATCAATCTGCGCGCCCAATTCAATTTTCGCCAAGTCGCCATTTTTTAGCGTTTCAGAACCTTCTTGATCAGACGGCAGTGGGGAAAAATGGCAGATAATATGATTGACGGAAACGCAGGTGGGAAAAGCGATGCCTTGAACAAAAAAAATTTCAGAATTCATTATAATCTTCGTCATTGGCGAATACATACACTCCAAAAATTACAAGGATAACTACCTTTTGAAATATTCTTATTTTTGGCATAAAGCACCTTTACGCCCTCTTCGATCAATTTGTCGCCCAATGTACAGAGATCCAGTATGCTTGCCCCATCAACTGCGGATTCAATCAATTTTCTGAGCACACCTATGTGTTTCAACAAGACAAAGAGAATTTACATTATATCGCGACATAAATTCTGTGATATCACCACCCCTTTTATGTCTTCTAATAAGTGAAACATTGAATAAGGAGCTGAGAAATGTGTTGATCTAACTTCTGAAATGCGTTGTATTATTTCCGTCAAGTTGCTTGCTTTCAGAATTCGCGAAACGCATAGAAAAACATTCACAAACGTACGATTCGAAACCTCAGCCACCATTTGGTATTTGTTGATAATCTCTGGGTTTTCCACGGTCTGAATTTCTTCACTTGGTTCCATTTTCGTTAATTACAACCGTAATTCAGAAAGTACGTAATTGCTCAGAGATTTTTTTCAACCAGAAACAAGTCATGTGGATCTACCGATTATTGTCACGTGAAAGGAACCATTTTATAAAAAAACTCTCGATCAGATGAAAAGTCTTCCTTTTCGTTTTTTTTTTTTTTGTATATCAAGACATGGTAAGATTGAGATTTTCATTACTAACATCAACAATAGCCATTATTTCATAATTATTTATTATTGTTTACCATCGCACTTTGAAATTTCATGTCTTCACCGATTTATATTAACAATTTCAGGCTAAGGAGAAGGCTGCCAAACCCTCCTCTGGTGGGGGAAAAACCAAGAAAAAGGTATATCGAATCAAACAGAATTTCCATTCTCATAACAAGATTTTTGCCATGATTGCTGTCTCTCTTGGTTTTATTTAAACATTCAGTTATTTACTTACTTGGCATCATTGAATGTATAAACTATATATGTATATATTGTAGAAATGGTCTAAAGGAAAAGTCAAAGACAAGGCCAATAATGCTGTGGTCCTCGATAAAGCTACCTATGACAAATTATTTAAGGAAGTACCAACCTATAAACTCATAACTCCGTCAGTTTTGGTTGACAGACTTCGTGTTAATGGGTCTCTTGCCAGAGTTGCGATCCGCGTGTTGGAAAAGGAGGGTTTAATTCGAAAAATTTCCACCCACGGCTCACAGCTCATTTATAGTAAGCTTTATTCTTTTTATAAAATCGTGCCTCTGCAAAAGCATCATCTAATCACAATGATTTCATAATACAATAGCTCGTGCTACTGCTGCAATCGACAAGGCCGAAGAAAAATAAATCTTACTGTTAATCGTTACTAAATAGCAAAATTGTTCGCTTGCGATTGAGCATCTACTCGATGGTTCATTAGTCAAAGTATACAATGTGATATCAACATGACAATAAAAATCATACATTTATTCTATCAAATAAAAGTTCACTTCGATAAAGTCTATGAAGTAATGCTAAAAATTGATTTGAGTGGTTGAAATTTTGTGCAACACTTGCTATTAACGTGATCAGTTTGCGACTTAAAGGGCCCACAAAAATTTTCTTTTTTGTAGCAACCGATCTATTGCGAAAATGCCTCCAAAGAAACAAAATCAGCAGTCCGAAAAGTCAAAGCAAAAGGACAAACAAAAGATTGTCGAAGATAAGACGTTTGGCTTGAAAAACAAAAAAAAGTCTGCAAAAGTGCAACAGCAAATTAAGCAGATAGAGAATCAGGTGATGCAAGCGGGAAACAGGAAGGCTCAGGTGTGCAATCTAAAGATGCTGCTTTAAAAGTTTGCAACCCGTCAAGATAAGATTAACGGTTGACACTGGTTCTTCATTCAATAAAGAAAGAAAAAGAGGCTGAGAAACAAGCTCTTGCAAATAAAAAACTCGCCGAACAAAAAAAGAAAGAAGAGCTTGCCGAACTTTTTAAACCCGTGCAAGTGCAGAGGGTTCCATTTGGTGTGGATCCCAAGACGGTTCTGTGTCAGTTTTTTAAGGTCGGACAATGCCAAAAAGGTGACAAGTGTAAATTCTCTCACGACTTGAACGTGGAAAGGAAAAGTACGAAAATTGATATATACACGGATTCAAGACTTGACGAAGAAAAGAAGAATGGTACGTCTAGTATTGCTATCTTGAAATGTTAATCATCGATTATCCAACTGACCTTATCGAATCTTAGACACAATGGAAAAGTGGGATCAGGAGAAGCTTGAACAAGTTGTTACTTCAAAACACGGAAACCCTAAGACCACTACAGACATTGTGTGCAAATATTTCTTAGAGGCCATCGAGAATCAAAAGTATGGTTGGTTCTGGGAATGTCCAAACGAGGGTGAGAAGTTTCGAATCTTGTTCTATTAAAGTATACCTTTCTTATTAATCTCCAATCAAATGGCGTTGTTTTTAAAGCTCTTTGTTAAAAGATCTTTCCAAAATATTACAGGAAAAAAATGTAAATATCGACATGCCCTTCCACCAGGGTTTGTGTTGAAGAGTAAAGCACAAAAGAAAGCTGAAGAGGAGGAAAAGGAACAAATTACTCTCGAAGAATTTCTGGAAACGGAGGTGAGTTCTCTCATCGCAAAATTTGTAGATGATCAATCGAATTTTGAATCTCACTTGTATTTTGCCTGAATCCTTGAAGCGTCATAAATTGGGACCAAATCTCACTCCCGTCACCTTCGAGAGTTTTGCCGAATGGAAAAATAATCGGAAATCAAAGATTGAAGCTGAACTGGAAATTAAAAGAGCCGCTAAAGAGGCCGCTTTCAAGGCTGGTAAGGCTCAAGGCATGTCGGGTCGTGATCTTTTCACCTTCAATCCGGATCTCGTAAATCAGGACAAATATGATGATGACGATGATGATATCTTCGATTTGTCCGGATATAAACGCGACGAAAATAGTGATCAGGAAGATGAAAATGTTGAAGAAAATGTTGTTCACGGTCAGGGGAATGACGACCAATATAATTCGACCTCGGAAAACCCTTATGGAGAGGGAAGCAGTAGTATCAATAAAGGTGATTATGATAAAATAGACAATCCTGATGACACTCCTTTGGTTACTGCAGACGGAGTGGAAGTAAAAGAGGAATTGTTTGCAGAAGAGGATCTGGATGATTTAGATGATGAGGAATGAACGAAATGTCTTTTTATGTATGAGTCTTAATACATTGCATTCCCACCTGCTGAATAACATATATTTATAATGTGCACAGAAACTAGTCATTATTTTATAGTATAATTGAATTTTTTGAATAGATGGTGAAACAAAATTGTATATTTTTTATTTCAAATAAAAAATCCTTATCAACTACTCCAATTTAACATGCCATGATTTCCTATTCAGAATTAGATAATAATTGTATTTTTGAATAGGAAAAGCGTAAAATGTGTAATGCAAAGTTTTGTTATTTAAGATATAGACACGCATTATGAAGAAAGTTTCGTAGAGCTTCGTTACTTGATGTTAGGATAAGGGGAGAGATAAAATGTTTCGACAACAAATAGATATATTTTATTTTATATTTATACATTCTTTTTAAAATTAACTTACTGAAGATTAGTTATTATTATATAATGGCGAGGAAAATCACGGGAAGGATTTGAGCTAACTTTGATATAATGCACACATTAATAAGTTCTTGTCTATTACAATCAAAATAACATAACCTACACTTTGGTTAATATGGACTTTCAACTTGTCGATATCACGTTAGCTACATGGATCCTTTCATTTTGCAATTCCGCGGGTTCTAGCCAAAATGAGAATTGTTTCCCAGGCATTGAAATAATGGTTTCACCTTCGAATTCAAGCTGAAATCGGTAGCTGCATATCCAATAAAGTTTCTCGCTTCCAACAGAACCTGTCTACCGCGAACGCTTCTTTTATGCTTAACAGAATTGTTGATAATAAAAAAAAATAAAAGTCTTTGCTCAACTCTGAAACAAAGAGTTATTGTTTTTTGTACTTTATCATTTTTATGTAATCACATTCTGGGAAATAATACGCGTACGTGTTACATAATGAGAAACATGCCAAAAAGAAAAAAACGTTAAATTATTTAACGCCTCGTAATATTGCATATAAAAAAGTTCCAAATATCGATTCAAAGTTTCAGGACTAGCCTGTGATACACGATGTTTCGATTTTTTTATTTCTTTTACCCGCCGTCTTTTCACATCAGGTGTATTATCTAGTTGCTATCAGTAAAGTAATGTAATGAGCATTTATTCTATCTCTGGAACCTAGAACATATTACTCGATCATTCTGTAATTTTTTACCTTAAAGATCTCAAAAGCATCCATACGGGCTTATTTCTACGGTACCTTGAATTCTTGGCTTAAGTGAAACATGTTTTCTTTTTCTATTAGGTTATTTTTGTGTCCCTACTTCTCTTGAAAAAGTATCAGATGAGAAATTATTATCCTCATTTACAGGCTCTCCATTTGAATTTTGCCTAAATCCTCTCTGAAATCTTCAGTAAAATCTTCCAAACCCTTTTTGAAACCCTCAGCAAAATTTATGGTTCGAGCTGAGATCTATTCATAATTATTCCTCAAGATTTTTTTAAGTCAGCACATTTCAGCTTTATTTATCACATCCCATCTCTATGAATAATGGGATGTTAATCCATGATCAAAACTTTCCAAATTTCAAAGGACTCAAGCGTTCGGATTATCGTCACGCGAAGAGGACTCGTCGGTGACGACATGACGAATTTTTTAATAAGTAAAATATGACTAATTTCCCTTTTAAAATAAGTAAATATTTGTTAACAACAAAAATAGGATATCTGAATAGAGAACTTAGAATGGCTACCAAGTGGTCTATTCAGTAATTATTCTAGTCAAACTAGAGGTCGCCTAGAAGTTATCCTTTGCAAAATAACGCATCTTATCCTTCATTTTGGTAAATTTACTTTTATCTATTTTTTCTGCCTCATATATTATCGAGGCCTTGCCAGCGGAAATAACTGAAGTAGTTAACGATGAAGAAACGACTGCTTCTCAGAAGCAGGAAAGAAAACCTCGAAATGATTCATATCTCCAAATATGAAATAAGTTCGTCATAACCGGAATAAGTTCATTATATTCAGAAGTATTATTTATATAGGTTTTTAGACGCGTTTTAGAAAAAAAAAACGGCTGTCCACTTATTTATCATTTATTTATTTATTCGTGTCCAGATCTAAATCGTAACACAATGTTATTTTGTGACCAAAATAGCCCAAAGAGATGAATATATTTCGTGTGCAATCTCATTATCGTGTGAAATTTTTTTTTAAAAAATATTGCGTAATATAAAGTCGGCTTTTATAAATCGTGGAGCGGGAGGAAGGGGTTTGGACTTATTGACTAAAAAATATATACATGATCGATTAAACTCGCCTTATTTAAAATCGCGTAAGTGTCATATGCTAATATAAATACCCCCAGACCGATATACTTATATGCATACACACAAATCGGAATGTCTTTTCATACAAACGGTCGTCGGCTAATATAGCCAACATCGTATTGTCGTTTTTTTGCTTATCTCAAATCTCGTGAAATTGCTGATAAAGAAAAGAGAATTACAGAAAGGAGGTCTTAAAAAATTCTAACCAAAGCAATTACGCATAAGAGTCAAATATTAAGAAAATTATTCTTGTTGATACTGGTGTATGGAACATCAATAATGATTTCAGAAGGATGTTCGAAGTAGAAAGGACCTCCAAAACAAAAGAAAAAGACATTATACTGTATATGTTCTTTGTGTTGAAAACTGTGAATCTGTTCAGTTGATATATTCTGATGAAAATAGGTAAAGAAGAAATTTTGCTTGGATATGATATTGTTATATCAAAATTTTTATATAATTATACCTAAGGAATTAAAAATTTTTTAGATCTAAAATAATAATCCAAAATAATAATTTGAAATTATAACTTATAATTATAAAATTTATATATTGTATATAATAGTTTATTAAGTTGTAAATATAAATATATTAAAAATTATAATAAAATATTTAATTATTTAAAATTTATATAAAAATCAAAAATCAAATTACAAAAATATAAATTAAATATAAAATAAAACTTGCATAAAAGAAATATAACTAGATCAAAAATCATATTTAACTATTATTTATACTTTGAACTTTATTTCATATATTATATTTCCATAGAAATTAATTTAAAATTTCTTTTCAAAAAACTTTTTCCCACTCCCCTTTCTACACTTGAAAATTTCCTTTTTAGAAAATTTTTGAGTTTGTTACTTTTTTTGCTTCCCCCTTTCCTTCTCTTTTTTTACTTCAAATCTCTCATATCTCTTTATTCCCCCTTCCTTATTCTTTCCTCTCTTTTCTATATATTCTTTTATTCATTTCACCCCACCCCTTCTCTTTTCTTCTTCCTTGCCAAAGTTAGGTTTTCCCTTTTTCTTGAAGGTTTTCTTTCTAGACTTCTCTCTTCTTTATAAACTCTATTCTTAATAACATTACTCCTCTGGCCAATCGGTTCCCTTTTCTCAAGATTATATTCAAAAGCAATTTTTTTTTTCAAGATGTGGGCTTTAAAATTTTTCTTTCTTCCATGGCCTTACAAAAAAAGGACAGATGGTTTACTTCCTTCAGAAAATTGGCATAGTTATCATTAACAAATCTGATGTTGTTTATTTGGTGATGGTTAGACTAGATACATCTAAGAAACCAGTATACAACTATTATTATCTGAAAGTACCCAAGAAGTTGTGTCTCACAGTATCCAGAGTGAAATAGTAACCAATATTAATGCAGCTAACAATAAGCTAAATTAGTGTGCAGGTGTCATGCTAGTTATTGGAAAAGTCAGTAGGATAATACGTGAAGACCAGAAATTCTAGTTACTCCTGCAATACAAGCTGGTAATAACAATAAAAGTTTTTCGCTTACCTTTTCGACAATGTAGGCTCATTGTATAAGGTTAGGTATCAACACTTTTAAGAAAATCCAACTTTACTACACATTCAACACTTTTCTTAACAAATCACTACTTTATGTCCAACCTATTCTTCATACTCATTGGTTCCACTTTATTCTAAAATCAAGATATACTCTCCAAAGCTACTCTAACAGCAAGATTAATTACCATCTCTTAGCCTACAGTTCTAGTGATGAGTTTCAAAATAAAAGATCTATACTAGGTAAAAATGGTAAAAGATTAATGTTGCCAAAGGATTGCATTGGTGTTAAAGATGATTGCTACTCTTCAGCTTTTAGTCCTAGTGATGGGTACAAATGGAGGGTCAATGCTAGGTGCAAATGGTGAAAGATCTGCTTTATTTTGATGTATTTGATATTAGTATAACTTGGAATCAACTCTTGTCCCACTTGTTATATATCAAGCTATAGTTGGAAAACAAGTATGCCAATCCTAACTATGACTTGAAGGCCAACTTGTATATAATGGCTACAGCACTTTCATGTAGTTAAGTAACCAAATTCTCTAGGTAGCTAGATGCCAGTCAAGGCATAATATAGGTTTTGAATTTTTTTTTTCTATAATCTTGAGTAGTGCTAAGGAGCTCAGGTGGATGGGCCGCAATTGTGAGCCTTGTATTAAACTCTTCCTAGTAAAAAGATATATACTACACCATAAAGTTTGTAAATCTTGTACTTGCAAGTCTAAAATTTATAATAAAAATAGTGTGTATGGACCCCCTGTTCCTTCAAAAAAAAAATTTTTTTTAAATTTCTTTTCCAATATAGATTATATAATTATTGTAAACAAGTTAATATTTATTTATTATATTTTGTATATAAAAGATATTGTTTTTTTTTAAATATATATGCTTTTATATAAATAAATAAATATTATTTATTATTGATGAACAAATAATTATAAGGTTTAATTTTATTTATTATAATTTTAAATTTGCAAAACAAGATTAAAATTAATAATATGATATATATTTTTTTGTTAAAAAATATTAAATCAAGACTTATAAATAGTTATATTCTTGTATTCTTAACATTATTTAATAAATATAGTAAATATTAGTAAACAGAAATTCAAAACTTATATTATAATTTTGAATAGTATCCAGCTATCTAGAAGTAATTTAAATATTTATTCATATTAAAGTACTATAGCTAATTTATATAAATTGATCTTCAAGTTATAAACAAAATTAATATACTTGTTTTTACATTTCTTCCCTTTTTGTTTACATTTATTCTTTCTATACATATTTCTTTTCTCTATTTACATTTCTTTCTTTTGTTTCAAATATAATTTAATATACAACAGGTAAAATAGTATTGAAAAAAAAGTTTTTTAATATATTTTTATATAAAAATATTGTAGTCACTTTATATAATTATGCCTTTAAATTATAAAAAAAATTTAATATATTCATATTTTAAATATAGTAAAGTATTTTATAAATAAAGTTTGGATTAAATTTTCTTGTAAATATTAAAATTTTATTTTATATAATAAATCTATATTGTTAAATAATAAACAAAAAACTTTTGTTATTATATTTATAAAGTAACTGGAAACTTTGATTTTCATATATTATTCTATTAGGTTTTTTAAATTACTAGTATTATACTTACAACCAAACTAATATTGTTATTAACTATATTAATATTAATTATTATTTTATTTTAGATATTGTAATATATAATTATTTGAATACTTTTGAAGAAGTAACAAGAAAATTCTTTAATCAATTCTTAAATGTTTCAAAAAAATGATTAAAATCAAATTCTTATTAATTTAAAAAATAAATCAATACATACAACAAAAATCTATAAGAATTATTCAAATCTGACTAAAACTATTCAGTGAAATAATTTTTTAATATACTTTCTTGAAAATCCTCTAATCAATAACACCTGCCTGGGTAGCAGTATTAGATAGTGCAAAAAAATTTTTAACATTACTAGAGATTACATGATCTACAAAATTCATCTTTTTCAAACTTTTGATGAGTGCACACTCCACAGCCTGAAAATTATTTACCAATCCAATAAGGACATCAAAAAACTCCATAATAACAAATACAGCATTAAGCATTTGCAACTATAAATTTGAACATGTATAACTATTTGTAATTCATAGATTTTCATTTTGAATCTCTTCACATTCCCATGCAGAAATCGAATCTGGAATCCAAATCCAATCCCGAATTCTTGGTACAATCACGCCATCGGCCGATCTAGATAACCTTAATTTATTAATTACTCTCGTTTGACTTTCGAGCTCGATCTGAAAATTAAGTATGAATGTTATATTAAAGGTTCGTGCAATATCCAATGAGTATATTCAGCATATTTAAAAATGCCTACCACAAGAATATAAAGGAATTCAAAGACAGCTAAATAATCCGCCACATCAATGAATTCGAATGGGAGGGTTGCAGATTTTATCTGCGAAACTTTGTAGACATGCTTATTTATTAAGCATAATTTACTGAGCGTTAACCGGTCGCCTAAAAAGCATTTCCATGTAAGCTCTTGGTTTTAAAATAGTTAATTAATGGCAAATAAATTACCGATGCCCTGAATTATGAAAGTATATAACTGTTTCGATTCTTCCGCACTTTTGTCCAAATAATTTCGTAATAGAGAAACAAGACCAAATACGGCTTCTTTCAAAAGCTTTTCTGAATCTTTTAATTTTTTTGATCTGTGTTTTCAGGCCCACCCAATACTTTGATAAAAACAACCGCTTTGTTAGTCGAATTCCGTACGCCAAGACCATCAGCTTGGTTTATAGGTAAATCAAACTTGGGGAATATCTTCTTCACTTCCCTCATACAATCCAATTCAACTTCGATCCAATGAAATTTATATTCATTATACACCGATTGAATTGCTTTGAACAGGGGAGCGATCCTATCGACAATATACGTATTCTCACTAACGTCTCTTCTTAACGGACCTTTCTTTGTCATAAAATAACTAAAATAGCAAGCATATCAGTAATATTATGTCAAAAAAAATATGGATTCATGAGTAAAACAATACACATACAAATCGTAAAGTACAAACTCGCAAATTTGACGAAAATCATGATCTTTTGGACTTGCTTCTGAGCTTAAAGGAGCTATGATAGCTTTTACAAACTCCTCTTTCGGTGACTAGAGTAAAGAAATTTTATTATATACATTTTACTATTTGAAAGAAATTTATGATAACTTACTGTTAATGCCGTTATAAGCCAATTGCGAATTATACTAGAGGTTTCTTCCGAAGTATGATTGTCTTTTATGATCATTCCTTGACCATTTACGTTTAATTCTATATAATTTTGCAGATAGGTAACAGATTCCTTAGAAAGCACCGACTTTTGAGGAGTAATCTGTATATTATTAACATTTGGCATTGGCGGTGGAGTCCCAGGAGTTTGGATGGAAGGGTTCGCAGTTAAAGTCGATAATTGATCTTGATTTACCAACGTTGGTAAATCTTGTGGTATTATTACATTGTTTAGTACAGAATTTAGAGAACTGGGTGGTGATAGCAGTGACGGTGGAAGTAATAATGATAATGGCAGAGGTGATGCAACGTCACCTCCGGTCATAATTATTGCAGGTGCTGAATTATCTTCATTCTTATTAGTCTGGATTTGCGATGATTGATGAGTTAGTATTCAACAATAAAAAGAAATTATCTACAAAGAAATATTGATAAAATAATCCAATGTACATACACTACTGCAATGATTTCTTTCACATATCACTGTTACTTTTGATTTTGATTGTTTTCGTTTGCTTATCTTTTGCTAAATTATGTGTAGTCTTAATGATTTATATTATCACTTTTAACGTCATTTTTTACCTTTTTTTTTTTATAATGGCTCGAATCAGAGGAAGGACTGCTACTTGGTTCATACTAATAACAAATGTATTTTTTTGGTCATACAATATATTGCATATTAAATAATCCATCCGATATCAACTTACATCACTTCCATCATCATATTCATATTGTTTTCTTTTATCGGACTCCTGTCAAAATTTACATAGACGTCTTTAATATTAATATTAATCCATATACCAACATTTGCATTAGTATACTATTTGCCTTCTCTTCGTGCTCCGAATCAATTTCACTCAGATTGTTATTATAACAAACGGGTGTAATACCTCCGATTTTCTTTGTAGAACACCCTCCACCCTAAAAATATAAATGCATTTGCAATCAGAAATACATATTTCAACTGTATAGAAAGATTAAAAATATTTTTTGTTAACCAAATTTAAGTTATATACTAACCTCATCTAAAGAAGTTGATGAATTTTCATATGGTTGTCTTTGCATCCTATTTTCTGCATGCTTTCGATTTTGTTTCTACAAGAAAACATGATAGGGTAAGTCAATTGATATTCCTAATCAACATATTAGATCAAAATAATTTATACCATCTTCTCCTCAACATTGGTAAGCGCCACATCAATGACATTAGAAGATCTGTATATGAACTTGCAAGCTACTTCCGTCTATGAATTAAGTAATTTCAGTAAAGGAAAAGTTCTTAATAAAATATTTGATAGACAACAATTCAAACCTCAGCATTGTCAATCAATGTTTCATTCTCGATTCGTTGCCAAAATATGTGAACATCCTCAAATTTCGTTCGATGTCTCTGACGCAGGAATAAAAATGTTTTATTAATAAAAATATTTTATTAATGATAGTCAAAAAGGCTAGGTAGGGAAATGACAGATCACAACGGTTCCCCATAAAGCAAGTTGATTCCCTCGCCGTAGTTGTGTGAGAATATACACCTCTCGCCATAAAACAGGTTGATCCCCCTGCCGTATGGGAGTGTGTACTCCTTTTCAGGACTCAAATGAAAGGTCCTGCCTCATTTTACAGAACGTGTCGGATTCCCCATAAAGCAGGTTGATCCCCCCGCCGTAGACACGGAAGTATGTACCCCTTCTTGGGACTTCAGCAGGGCCTCCATATCTGTCTTTTAGTTAGCTAAAAAGATAAAAAGAAAAAAAATACCTCGAAATTATCCAACAACCGAGTGGCACCCTCTCTGACCTTTTCCGAATTATCTTTTACAAGTAAATTTAAACTGCGTTTGAGTTCATCAGCCTCTCGTCGAAAAGAGAAAATGGGCCCATGTTTTTGGCGGTACTGATAATAGTCGTGAAGTTTGTTTAAAATATTGCATGATGAACGCGTTTACGCGTTTGACAATCTATAACATTATTTAATATAAATATGGAATCATGTGACAATCAAATTATTGACCAAGCATTTCAATGAAGCATATAGACTAATGACTACAATATTCTTTCGTACAGACTTTCAGCGGACCTTTTGCTAAGATTGTTCATTTTCGACACTGCATGTATAACTAATGATTTTTTTATTCTATTCAGAATATCAATAACAAATGAAACCGAATTATATAATATTGGATAATTTGTTAGTATAAATTAGACAATCGAAAATTTGTAGTGTAGTCGATAATAAATAAAGCAAAGCACGATTTTTTACATCAATATTATTACATGTGATTAACCTTTTGAATATAACCTATTTTGTAATAAAACAATGTCGAACGATCAATTAACAATCAACACCTTAGGAGAATTAAACTCTAGGCTTGCATCCGAGATTGCTGAACCTATGCTGAAATTCCTGAACTTAAAAATTTGTTGAAATTAGAATATCAAAGTTAAAGCTGAGAATGCTGAGATTCCGAAATTAAGGCTGAAAACACGAAGCTAAAAGATACAATAAAACAAAGCACTAGGTGTGAAGCTTAATAGGAAGTTAGAATTAAGAAACTAGAACAGAAAGATAATGAAAAAACTAACCTTATAATCAAACTGGAGCTGAATGAAATTGATACTGTTGCCAGAGTTGCGAAATTAGAACAGAAGCAATTGCAACCAGATTGCTAAATTGGATGAGAATACCAAATAAATCAATAATATACCGAAACAAAAAATTCTTAATAACAGATAAACTTATAACGTGATGATCCCCCTATATCTGATGTATCTGATAACGCTTCAAATTCTGATGAACTCAATAAAACTAAATTTCAATGATGCTTTTTCATAATTATCTGCCAGAAGACAAAGACTTAATGCTTCGCATTATCAATTTGTATAGAAATTAAATCTTTTGATTATGAAATCGAATTTCTGGATCGGGTACATAAAGAACATATTACCGTAAACCACTGCATACAATACCCCGGGTATTAATCATTCCACCAGAAAAATTACTTAAGGAAAAAAAGAAAAATACTATTAAAAAAATCAGGAAGGGTACTATTCAAGGGGGGGTATTGTATGCAGTGGTTTACGGTAATAACAAAGTATATAATACTGGTGTTATATATACAGCCATTGCCAATTTGCTATATAATATATGTTTTAAGTATAAAGATATACTAATTATTAGTATATTATCAAGTTCTAGTAAACCAAGTTTATACAAAATAAAATGCTATCTTATATCAATTGTTGATAAATTAATACAACTATAACAAGGAATAATGTTAAAATCGACTGCTGAAAATAAGAAAGGAAGAATAATTTGAATGGCTTTAATTTTAGTTTAATATGATATTTTTGTAGTATACAAAATATGTGGACACATTTTGGCATTAGTATCTTGTCACTGTTGTAAAAAAAAAACTAATTATATAGATAATTAATATAACTTTGATAACATGAAAAATATGAATAAATGGTTTATACCAAGGAATTTGATAACACATATATAAAATGTTACTGAATAGAGAAATTGCAATACAAATGTAACACAAAAGCATTTTGTCAATAAGAATCTAGCTAGATAGTTCAAGCTTCTTCACTTACTTTGTTTTGATTCTATTCAGTATTTGATTATTGATCTAATGTATTGTTTTTTTTAGGTATTGATAAATGACTTGTTAAATGATTATGGATTGAAGAAAAGATATTGACAAACAATATATTAGATGAAATATAAGCAATAATGGAAAAGTTTTAAGTAATATCTGATATTGACCAAATCCCAAAAAAAATAAACTGTAGAAAAGGTTTTTCAAACTTTACTACTAATCAATGAAAAAATTTTTTTATAATATATGCAATTATTGTTTTATAAAAATATTTTTTGAAAATTAATTATCAAATATTAATTAATTTTGTCAAAATATATCAGATATTAGTATGCCAAATTGTAAGATGAGAATTATTAAATAAAGCTTATGAAAGACTAATAACAATGATTAAGTTAATTGAATAAAAATATGGTGAAGAAAAAATTATATTGAACTTTCATCTTTTTTTATATTTGTATAAATATATATATGATTATAGGCCATTATATGCTTTTTGATATTTTTTATTTGAATAAATAAATAGTTTGTTAGGTAGATTTTTTTATAATTAATATTTGTAAAATAATATTTTAACAAATTTTAAATTTAGGATCATTGCTTAATAGCTATTGAAATATTAAGCCTAAACTAATGTGAAAATTGGTGAATAACTATCAAATTATAAATTTAATCATATTTTATTATAATAATAGGACTTAATATTTTAAATAATCAATCAAATATCAGATCAATTTCAGAATGTGATCAATTTTTGACAGATGAACTATGCCAATTCTTAAACAACATATATAATATTTAAGAGACAGTTATTAATAGATTCAAACAATTTTCTGGCAAACTATTGCATTCTGAAAAATTAAATTTAATTGTATCTTCTTAAATCTTGAATTTATTAGTCAAATATTATCAAGCTTCTTATAAAACCACAAACTTTCGAAAGCTATTTATTAAAGATATTAATAATAATTCAATAATTGTTCAAAATAGAGCTGATAAATATAGAAGATATCAAATTGGAAATGAAATCTTTGATTCCATTATGTTACCATGAAATATAAAAGGTTCATTTGTTTTAATCTAATTTGTGAAGCATAATAGAAGTGTCAATTTATATCTAGAACAAGTTCAATTTTTTCTCACTCATTTAGTCAACTTACTAAATAATATGATAAAGTACAATTTGGCTTTTATTCGATAGTTTAAATTTGTTAATTTGACAAATATCAGGTTCTATTTGAATTTGAAAATGATACAAATATTGAATTATGGAGTATTGAATTTTATTTAATTAGACATGAATATATAATTCCTATTTATAATATTTTTAGCTAATTTATTTTATTTAAATATAAGATTTCAATTTGACAAGATTCTTATAAATATTTAACTATTATTTCTTTAAATTGCAAATACAATATATAAAATTTTGTCAAAACATATATAATTCAGCAAGATAATATAATTTGACAAAAATATATATATATTTGGCAAAGTAATATAATTTAACAAAGTAATATAATTTAGCAATATATACAGTATATTTGGCAAGATAATATAATTTGTCAAAGCAATATAATTTATTAAAGTAATATAATTTGACAAAGTCAAAATATATATACAGTCAACACTGTCTAAAGTTATCTCATTTGGACAAATGGATATTGATAATTTTAGATAAATGTGACTTTTGAAAAAATAGATAATACAAAAACATTTATTATGATTGGATAAATGTAGCTAACATAAGTATATCAATTTTCTTTTTTTCTTAGAATTAAATTTTCAATATATTAGACACAACTTTATTTTCAAGTAATCATTATACATGTAATATATAAATACTCTCATAACAGTAATATATTTATTTTTATTATTAATTTGTAATGGTAATTAAGATTCATTATTAAAAAAGAAACTGATATTCTGTTGTTTTTTTTGTTGTGCTATCTTTAATACAGCTTTTCGTATTAGCTATCTAAGTTTTTTTAAAAACTTTATATTAATTTTCACTTTGTCCTGTTGTTCATACCACAAAAGAGCACCTTCAAGCATCTCTTTTCCTTGTAGTACAGTTTTTGGCAATAGTATTACCTCGTCTTCAGAATTATTTTCAAGTGGCAAAGGATTAGAGCAGTGTAAGACTTCCTTTACAATTTCCATATCAGACATGATTTCATAACTTGCAATAATAGAATCCATTTCAAGAAACTGTTTTGTGGACATTTGAATCTCAGGATTAATATCAAGCTAATTAATTAGATGCATAATATCTGTATGAATGTTACTTTCAAAATTGATATTTGGTGACAATAATGATAATTCTGCATCCATAATTTTTATATGCTTTCAGCAATTGTGAATCGTCTCCAGAGTAATTTGATTCCATAAGTCTGCAAGAAAGTAAATTGTATCTTTAATAGAAACTTTCATCATTTCAACCTTGCTATTATATTGATCTACCAGATGTAATAGATGGAAGTGACAATATCAAGCTTTGCATATGACAATAATGTCAGCATCTAATGGTTGTAAGAGAGATGTCATATTGGATGGGAAATATTTGACTGTTACATTACTAAGATTATGGTCTTTATCATAACATGAGGCATTGTCAATTAAGAGAAGGATTTGTTTATTTTGATTTACTATTTGAGTATTCAAAGTCTTGAGCCATTTATTAAAGATTTCACTAGTTATCCAGGCTTTTGTATTTGATTGATATGTTATATGTAAGTTTATATATGTGGCATAAATTATTTTGCTATTGACTCAATTCCCAAAATCCTTAAAAATAATTGCATCATGACTCAATTATTTA